ATACAAAGGCCATGTCGAGCAAGATACGAGAAGCAAAACAGATTCGGTTTGTTTTTTTCTGACAAAGCTTATCGATTATTGATTGGTCTTCACCAAGCGACTACCTGCTGGGGTGTTTTAGTGCGCCGGGGTGCGGCTTTGCGCCGAGCCAACCACTTGCGCCCCCTCCCGCCTCCGGTCTTCTTGACTTGGTCACGACACCGGCCCCAAATGGAGGGGGGGGGGAGGACAGAGTGCGATAGATGCTGAGTAAGCCTACCATCAGTATGTAGTAGTTCGTGCGCAAGTCACCATCCCTGCTCTCGTCCTACTGTGGAGCAAATAGTGCAGTTGACAGTCGAAATGGCGCCTGCTGGGACTACTGACTGGAGTTTAAGGCGAAATGGAACGCCCAGAACTCTACCTTCAATCAGAATAAATCGATTAGAGTTCCCTTCGTGAATCTTGGCATTTACAGTCTCAAATTACGCCAACTTGACCCTCGCTCGGTGATCGAGGCTCTGTTTTATGACCATCGAAACGCGCTGGCCTATCCAGACATGGATTTTTGTAGGCTGATGACGAAAAAATGAATAGGATTGGTCATTTCAATGTCCCTTGTCTAGGTTGGAAACGCCTTCCGGTTTAACGCAGCTTTGTGGTAAATTTGACGTTTAGGCTGCGACAACTGGCGGGACAAGTTAGCGTTCCTAACTGCGCCAACTTATTGAGAAAGCGTCTACCCAGTTTTATGCACACACACCTCCAGCTCCTAGACTCAAGGAGAATCCACAAGTTTAAACGCGAGTCTAAAGACCTTAAACTGGAGGTACAGTACACATCGAAAGGCATAGAAAGGCTGACCGTACCTACCGATTGACCATCTCCGTCTAACTGTCACGAGGCAAATTACTTGTCGGCAAGCTTGTAATTATAAACATACCCTCCAATAAGCACCGATGGGATAGAGGTCAAGTTTGAGGAGATCGATGTCAGAATTTCGCAAAGAGATGGTCATGTTCGTGACGAGAAGGGTAGGCAAATTGTCATAGTAAAACCCCGTGTCGTCAAATCTCAAGTGAAAGATGATTGTGAATCCATTGTAGACGTCCAAAACACGCCGACGCTTGAAAAAGGCTAAGCAAAGAGAAGAAAGAACCGGAAGCGTATTCAGGTTTGTGATTATGAAGTGTGACTACCTCTATCGTTATCGCTGAGGTCACAGTCGATGAAGTCATGTAGGAGTGGGACGAAAAAAAGAATAAAATTAAGAAAGTGGACGAAAAAGCAGAACAATGGGGAACAGAAAGACACAGAATTAAATCGGAAGTCTCAGAAGTAGTTAAAGGTAAATGCTGTCATCTAACTGCATGAGAAAAAGCACAGTTTATGAAAGTCAACAAGGTTAGCTTTCATCAGAATTTGTTCGCACTGGTCACTTCATCGGGATTTTTAAAAGCCACTCATTTATTTAACCCCATCCGGGTTATGCCAACGACCACAAAGTCAGTTAAAGCCAATCCGGCGGTATCAGTGGAGTATCTCTAGATGGTGCCCGCCTTCTTTGAATTTCCTCGTCTATATCTTTATAAATGAAGTGCCCAAGTAAATATGAATGAACTTCAGTCCGTCTCCCTACTGCGGCTGCCACAGAAACTGAGGAGCTCTGGCCGGTTTTCGACCACTCACAGCAATCCGAACTGACTAATCAACTTCGTAACTGGCACAGACACTCCCTCGTCCAAGACGATCTGACGCCTGCCCCTGTGGCATTCAGACAACTGCTCCGGCATCCCCGGTTCGGTTGCTGTTTTGCTCTAATCTACTCTTCATTCTTTTTGCACAGAACACAGTACTCTCCCTCTCTCTCTGCCCCCCTCTGACTTCCCTACTTCCCACTTGAGGTATACCCTGAAGATCGCAATGGTTTGGTTCTGTGAATAGGTTCGACTGCTGCGACAAGTCCAGGGGATCCACTGTCGGCTCGTCTTGACGGTTGCATGATTAATAACCACTTATTACTCGGATTTTCGCAAATTTTGTTGACAGTAGTCTCAACTACCCACCTCATGTATTCATGCGGGTCAGTCCACAGCTGAGTTTTAGCTTCTTAGCTTAAGTCACTTTGTGCTAATTGTCGGCCGGATTACTTCAACTCTGGAGATAAGGAAGATCATTTTACCGGTAGGACAATTTTAGCATGTAAAGCCGTGGTATGCCACGGACTTAATCCTGCTATGCAAAGTGGAGGTTACCTACCTCTGGTTGATATAGTGTCGCCTCGGAACTCCGCACAAGCCGATGGCTGATAGTAGGCCTGGTGTGGAAGTGCACGCGATCTGAGGCGCAAGGGAGGAGGAGGATGACGAAAGTTACATTATCAGAGAGAATGAACTCTGAAGTCCTGTTAAAAGGCTTAATCTCCAAAAGAAATTGAGCAAACGCAAGCAGCCCCCATACGTTGTCCTTGTTAGCACCCACATAAAGCCGGTTTATGTTAGTATGGCTACGTGTCTTCAGTCTAGCAACCGTCTCGATAGTCAACATTAACAATTTAACGATATCATGGTACTACCACTAATATTTGGGTAGCACTGGTCTATGAAATTTATAAATTTTTGGACCACGGCGCACACTGCTGGCATTCACCAAGATGTCTGCAGACTACAAATCTCATTACTTTTCCTGTAGCTTAGGCGTGCTTTAAATGTCTACTGTATTTATTACCAAACCGAGTTCATATGTCTCCAAGTACTGGGAACGCATGAAATCCTGTGTTTATCTGTATCGTTTTTTGATATACCCCTTTCCATTTTCCCATACACTTCCTCTACTCGTAACAAATAGGGATTGCAAAGATACGCACAAATTTTCCCTCAAATTAACTGGACTGATGTGAGTACGGAGCAAAATTACTTATGAAGTAGTTTGTGCTGGTCACATTGACTACTGGCCTCTTTACAATTTTCATCGTATTTCTTGCACCAACGTCCAACCCCTCCCTGATTATTCCTATTGTATGGAAAGCTGCACATTTTTCGAAAGTATGCCCTTTGTATATGGAACTATTCGGTACTAGAAAGCTACCTGTGCTAGTATGTCTCCAGAAATGACATGCACCTAGAAGGATACGATGTCAGCTGCCAACATGCAGTAAGTGGGCTAACTCATTAAATCTCGACAGAAATTCTAAAAACTGTTTTCGTTTGGAAAAGACGAATTAAGTAGGGTTGTAAAACCAAACATCGTGCAGCATAATTCTATAATAATTCAGTTACCTCAGGATGCCGACTTTCGAATTAACTTCTTTTGGCTGCATCCAAAAAACCACGCTCCGTAAAAATATAACTAGTTAAATAGCATGCACTTTTTCATTGATTTTTGATGCCTTAAAAGATTCAATTATATTTCGAGGAAATCATGCGCAAAATATTCATTCTTTCGCTTATTCAGTAGGAAATTAGGTCTTTTTTCAATTTTACACTCGAAGGAAGGGTATAGTTCGGTTTTGTAAAACTTTTCCGATTCCCGAATAATTTTGAACCAAACCTGCGGTTACACTTGTATTAAGGGTCACCAAACTACAAGCCGTTTAATTTCCATGTACGAAAAGCCGTATATTTCTCCACGGTGATATAAGGGGACTATGCAGGGTTTATAAAATTAAGTAGTGGATTCGAGCCGCATTGCTAATTTTACAAGCCACGATGGTAAATGCAGAGACATGATGTTTTATGAGGGTCATTTCACGGTATTAAAAAAGCCCACAATGAGAAACTTTTTAAAAGCCGAATTATACTCTCCCTTTAAGTGTAAAATTGCAAACAGATGTGATTTTTTACTGAATGAACAAAAGAATGAATATTTTTATGTACGCTTTTCACGAAACATAATTGGATTTCCAAGGGCATCGAAAATCAGTGAAAAGATGCATGCCAAGTTTGTAGTCATTCTTTAGGAAGTATGGTTTTTGAATGCAGCCGAAAAGAAGTTTGTTCATAAGCCGGCGTCCTGGGGTAACTGACTTATTATAGAATTATGCCGCACGATGATTGGTTTTACAACCCTACTAAATTACTATTTTCGAAAGAGAGACACATTTCGGAATTTCTGTTGACAGTTCATGTGTTATCCCACCAACTATAATATGCACGTTCATTTAAAACACGCCGTATCCTAAAATACTTCCATGAAGACGATTTCTGTACTTTATGTCGCTTCGGCAGCACATTGTTGACGTCAGCATATGCGCAGATTCGATTTCTGCACAGGTGTCTCGACAACAATGTGCTGCCGAAGTGCGTTTCATACAAACCTCCGGTCAACACACAGCTGGCGAGACGCGCAGTACTTCAGCACGGCCGACGAATGATCCGAGTGCTCCTTCAAGACTGTCACTCACGGATTCGCAAATACCGTCAGAGGATTGACCAAGAGAAAGCAAGGTGCTGCGAGTTCATGGGCGAGGACGGCATAAAACTGCTTCAGTAGAGGCTGGCCGAACGAACCCGCGAACATAAAGCAACTCGCGAAGCAGCCCTAGAGAACAAATTTCGTAAGCTGCCTGCTCCAATGTCATCCAAGAGCGACAAACTGGTGCACAACCTGTCGTCAAAGGAGCTGACGGAGGAACAAATGCAGGTTTTACGGCATGAGGCCTCATTAAACACAGCCGATGCCAAACCTGCCAACATGATCGCAGCAGTGGAATCAATCCTCAGCCAGACGGGAGCGACAGACGAAACGAAGAACCTCATTCGACATCAAGTGTCCTCCCTCCTCATGGCTCATAGGCCGCGCGACGTGCTTTCCAAGGTCGAGCGTGATGCACTTAAGGAACTCAGGGCCAACAACGACCTCGTTATCGTGCCTGTGGACAAGGGGCGTTCAACGGTCGTATTGGACAGGACAGACTACAATCAAAAAGCCAAAAGCTTGTTGGAGGATCGTCAGTCCTATGTCCCATGCGAATCCAACCCCATGAAACGCTGACGCGCGAGATTAACGCGACGCTGTTGGCAATGGAGAACTCAGGTGCAATATCGCCAATCGACCGACGCATGGCGAGAGCACAAGAAACGGCCCTAGCCCGATTCTACGGTCTCCCAAAAGTGCACAAAGAGGGCGCTCCTCTCCGGCCTATCGTATCACTAAAGGGCACTCCAACCTACGGACTGGCAAAGTGGCTGTTCCAACGTCTCAAGTTTCTGACCTCCGATTCGAACACCACAGTCAGCTCGTCAACGCAATTCTTGCAGAAACTTAAAGGAGTAAGTCTCCTGCCAAGCGATATCATGGTTTCCTTTGATGTCACGTCCGTTTTTACTTCTATCCCGCAGGACCTGGCAGTCGAGACCATCGAACTACTCCTACGAGAGAAATACGCCGAAACGGAGAATCGCCTCGGACACGCCCAAATCGTCCAGCTCTCGAAGTTCTGTCTCAAGACGTACTTTGCGTTCGACGGAACAATCTACGAGCAGGTGAAGGGAACGCCAATGGGTTCGCCGATTTCGGGACTCATAGCCGAGGCGGTCCTACAACGGCTGGAGTCGCTGGTTTTCCGACACCACAGACCGAAATTTTGGGCTCGGTATGTGGATGACACCTTCGTCGTCATCGAACGGGATCAGGTGCTGACGTTCAAAGAACAACTCAACGCCGTCTTCCCGGACATCCAATTTACGATGGAGGAGGAGGAAAACAATCAGCTGGCCTTCCTGGATGTCCTCGTCTGCCGCAAAGATTGTGGTGGCCTAAAAACAAAAGTGTTCAGGAAAGCGACAAATACGACGCAAATACTGAACTTCAATAGCAACCACCCGATCAGTCACAAACGCAGTTGCGTAAGGGCGCTATACCGGCGCGTTGAGACGCACTGCAGTGAAATGGAAGACAAGGTTGCTGAACTACAATATCTTCGACGGGTAATGAGAGCCAATGGTTACCCGCGCAGCTTTGTCAACCAGTGCATACGAAAAGGACACCAGAGACCAAATCCAACCGGACTCAAATTTTGGCGGGCTCTTCCGTACGTGAAGAACGTCTCGGAAGCCGTCGGTAGTCTTCTCACTCCACTTGGAGTTGGGGTTACACACAGGCCGGAAGCAACCATTAGGCGCCAAATCATGAGGCCAAAGGACCCGCTACCACGGCAGGACACGTCTGGAGTCATTTAACGGATCTGGTGTAGTTGCGGGCAAAGCAATTATGTCGGAGAAACTGGGAGATTACTCCGTACGCGAATTGCCGAGCACGCAGCAGCAGTGAGGCGTGGAGACGCTAACTCTCAAGTGGCGGCACACTCGACGGGACCCGGCCATATTTTCAAATTTCAAGAGGCCGAAATCCTCGCAAGGGGTGACAACCGCGTGAGCCGCGAGCTGCTCGAGTCATGGTTCTCAGGCCCGCAATCCATCAACAAGCACAATGACCTCCCGGTACCCTATGGCGTACTGCGATTTACCCTGGGCAGGAGAATCAGTCACGTGGGGAGGGCGCGGGCGAGCAATCATCACGGTGACAGTGAGCCAGTTTGCCGAGCAATCGTCACACCAGCATCCAGCACGGATGACGAAATCGCGGCCATTACCGACTCGGACTCGGACCGACAAGCCACCACCGCATCAATTACGGCCCCAGCGGTGATTACGAAAACTGTTAATTGCAGTGCGCATGCGGTCCCACGGCAGCCACGTGCTATAAATACTGCACTCCTGGTGCCACAATCACCTTTATCTGCTAATGTCTCTGATGATGGATTCGAGTAAGGATCCGAAATGTCAGGCAAATAAATTTCTTGTTCCAGTGATCGCATCTTCATCTTCTAAACTGCTACCTGGAACTCGCCTGTTCGCTTCTATTAGCAAAATACATTTTTGCTTCAAGTACAGTGTTCAGGAAGACACAATTCGATCGTGTTTTTACCAAAAAACACACTCAGTGTACTATTGTGCATGAATTACCCTGCGGTTCTGTCTGATGCTATATAGCCGTACAGCCTCATTTAAGGGAGGGGGGAAGGACACATTAGTAAACTTTGAGGGACTTCTCCTGCTTCTCATTCCCAAATGGTATTTGTAGTTTCTCCAAAAAAATTCAGCTCATCGCGGTTGAGGTTGATCAAAAGTGCTATGATAAAATCCGTCTCATCTCAGTAGGTATAGCTGTCATCCTTATAGTTACAAAAAGTCAGTCGGTTTCACGTTGTGCCTGGAACATTTCTGCCTCGGGGAGTATGCACTTTCTGGCGTCCAAGCCGTCAAACAGGAACTCGTAATCATGTCCTTCCCAGGGATACTTAGGGCCTTCTTTGGCCGCCTTAAGGCTTAAAAGGTTATTCCTCTGCATACAACAAATGACATAGACGATGTGGTAAATAATACTGTTTGCTGTTGCTGGTAGCCGGAAAAAATATAAGAAGTCTTTATACCGGAAGTAGACAGTGTCCAATTGATTGACAACGGCTCGAAACGGTGAGTCGAATACCCAGTCCGAAGGGTCTGGACCAGACTGCTTTCTCTGTTCGGACGGTATCAGAAGGTCGAAGAGTGGCTTTAGCACATCGCAGTTCACCTGTAAGAGGGGACAAAGGGAAAATAATTAGATCGCACGGCAGATCTTGAGTCGACAAGACGCCTGATCAGTCCTGTTAATTTACTCCGCAAAACTGTACTCGATTTGGACACAAATAAAGTAATGAGAATTTAAAAAAACGAAAAGGAATTGCCGCAGGCTTAGTAGGAATAAAAATCCAACCTGATTTCACAGTCCACACTATCGAGACTTTTGATCGATAACCATTCCGCCCATATGCTGATCATAAAGGCGAAATTTGTGTCATTCTGGTAATATTTCCGTGCTCATTTATAGTCTTAAATTAGTTTATAGGAGCGGTTAGCTGTAATACCATGCTCGTCTGGTAAACCTTAAAGCCGGACTGTTGTATTGCACCATACCATGACCTTAAGCGCTTTACTGACCCAAAAACTGTTTTTATGTTTACTCGGCACATTTGACTGAGGTAATTGGGCACTCGGGGGGCGTACAGGGCTGGTTGGCCGGGTGGCCAAACCATCATCAACCAAATTCCGACAAAGGTGATGCTATTTCAGCAATTAACGACTTGTATTCCAGCCATCAAGCAATTGGTGCACTGGAGAGAAAGTTTCCCCGATCAAGGGAAGAATCGGTAATTTCCATAGGTATGCGGTAGCACAGCGGTCTCATCCTATAAATCTGCAGCTTCCTGGGCACGAATCACCCGTATCTGTCACTGCCTCTAATAATGGATTCGAGCGTGAATCTGAAACGTCAGGTGAATAAAGTTATTATTCCAGCGATCGCATCTACTTCTTCCCAAAGAGCTTCATCTTCATAACTATTTTGTGAATAAAAATCATGTCCTCATTGGAACCTCTACCGAAATAGATCGGTGTACTTTAACCGTGACCGGTAATCTGACACTTTTAATTCACGAACACGCGCAAATATGTGTACACGCGCTGTAAGGGGTGCAAATAAAATTTTCTGACTCGACCTGAATGAGCTGCTGCGCAAATTCGCAATTTTTGGCCGGACTCCTAAATAATCATTGAGAGAACCTGTTGCTGGGAATTTCGGATCGAGCGATGTATTCCTGGTTTCTTGAACGGATTCCAAACTAGAATAGTGTAGCAGTGAAGTTCAACATCAAATTCTTTAGGTTTGACAAGCGACATTTTCCGTAATAGTTTTTAAGACAAAGCTTTTTTAAAGTCTGAGAATAAAAGTGAGAAAGTCGGTAGGGTGAATGATCCCGCTTCAATGTAGGCAGACTTTTGACTGTTTCATATGTGATTTTATCTCGGCATCCACTTGCAGGCCATTTCAGACATTACACTGTCAACAATGATATTTTCCCATGGCCTCGAACCATTACTTAAACTCCATTATTTTCCGAAAGTTCGCTTTTTATTTATTTTTTGATTGACGTGCTCATTTCAGTTGCCACGGGAAAGCGTTCGAAGAAACTTTCGGCTGAAATCCAAGCAATTTCTCTGTTTTCTTGTTCTTCATTTGCTTACTGCTGGGAGTTCTATCCCGTCCGTAAACGTCCCATTACCGCCATTCCCGTGTGACATTGGCTAAGGTCTACCGACAGTTAAGTTGGATCAATCATCCTACGGTTGCCAGGAGAAAACGGAAGCGCTACTTACAGGAGTAAGTACACAGACAGTAGAACTAGAAAGGGATCATACTGCCTCGGGCAAAAATTGTCATTTAAGACACAGACATGACGCTTGGTAAGTTTCCCCAATCCCCAGCCTCAGAAGTATTGTTTAATAAAAAAATGCAACCCCCGCCAAGGTGAAAATGCATAACAGCTACAAATCTAAACAGCCATTTATTAAAAATGTATCGTAAGGTCAAAATTTTTGCAATTTTGGGCAAGTCTAAATGCGCGCTTCCATGGTTAGAGTGTTGTCAATTAAAAGACATGCAGTGAGGGCAAACTGTACGAAGGTGGCCCAATGTTGCTCAAACTATATGCTGTTTAATATCTAAATATGGTCAAAAAGATAGTCGTAAGCCTAACCCCAGAAGAGTGGCTCAGTTAGCTCCCCTATATTGCCACCATGGAAAGATCCAGGAAGTCCTGGTTCCCAGGCCACCGTCGGTGTGGGCGGTGTTAGCATTCCCTCAATGAAAAGTGCAAACATAATTAAAACTTTTGGCGTTAAAGGATATCATACTAGCATCACAGTCATTGGTTAAAAGCCCAGACACGCGTGTTTCGCTGATATGCTGTCAATGACTGGCTAAGCTGCTAGGCATTCGGCCCTTTAGTGGGCCCGCCAGCATTCCCCGTGAACTTTCTGGTAGATACTCCAATTAAGAAATTGTCGCTCTTTTGTTTCACAAGGAATTAACTGCTAACATGGAGTAGATCAGCTTATGCCGAAATTTGATATTAATGAAGTTGATGAATATAACGCGCTTACCCCGCCGTGGCTGATGGACTTCGGGTCAAATATTCCTACATCAGCTTTTGGTCTTCTCCTGTAGACCCTAGTACAAACTGATCTACTCCAAGTTAACAGTTAATTTCTCAGGGCATTAAAAAAGGACAATAATAAAAACTGGCTATCCTATCCAGTGACCATGTGCAAACACGGTTTGGTCAATCGGCTCAAAATTTCGATTGGTTACAAGCCCAGCCTCTGGGTTCGGGATACAAAAGGCAACTATCCCGGTAAGAATCTATATCGACCCACAGAGGAATTTCGGATCCACACTGCTCTATGATACGCCCTTTCCGGCATAATGAACATTTCCCAAAGTTGATTTTGTGGACCAGTGAAACAAAAAAGTTCCATGTATGCGTACCAGAAACGTAGAAGGAATAGAGAACTACTTGGCTGACAGCCATTACTACTATTTGCGATAGCTTCTAAACGCCCCCTGGTCGAAATCAGACAGCCCTTCCCAGAAAGCTGTTCAAGACACCTAAGGCTTGATTCCGTGACCTGCTGGTTAGAAGCCCAGCGCCCTTACCACTTAGACACGTGCTCGTTGATCTATGTAACAGTTACAAGTTCGACAGAAGGCAATGTATGGACAGTGGGTAAGATCCTCCGAACGAACGTGTTGCCGCGTTTTCATGCATACTTACTGCTACAAATTACATGCACAATCACAGCTGTCGGTTACTCTTATCTGAAAATATGTTCCGCATGCATCCTCAGACTAAAATATTGGCTGTTTTAGGACCGCTCCTACCGTTTGGGCCTTGAAGTTGAATTTCAGCTGCGGAATCCAGTGAACATTGTGCGTCACTTTTGTTTCCTGTTCGTCTGCCAGCATGGAGACCCAGGCAATTTTGTTGCAGTCGGCTGCATTTTGTCTGCCGACCGTCCAGTATGATTCTAAACAGAAAAAAAATATGAGATACGTTACAGTTAACCGATACAGTAAGGAGACAAGTTGCTGGAGGTTTGATATTTCAGTTCTGTAGATACTCGGGTCTATCTTTTGGAGTGTACGACTACCGTCCACAACTCGGTCAGATGGGAGAGAAACCAGTTTGCCTTGAGGTGGACGCGTGAACAGAAATGGTATACAAACTTGTCTGAAAGTCTACAGGCGTTTTGGTACATTAAAACTACTTGCTTGGTATCACTACAGCTGCATGTATAGG